CACAGTGGAGGGGAGCATCCAGACGCAGTGCCTCAGCAAAGACTGCTCACACAGTGGAGGAGAGCATCCAGACGCAGTGCCTCAGCAAAGACTGCTCACACAGTGGAGGAGAGCATCCAGACGCAGTGCCTCAGCAAAGAAAAAACCCATCCCTACTAACTAAAGCTATTTCGGTACTGCCTTTTAAAAGCTTAAAGGGAAGTCTTTTTTTTAAAAAAAAAAAAAGAAAAACAATGGGGGAAGGGGTACTGGAGAGATGACTCCGCATTAAAGGACGCTGGCTGCTCTTCCAGAGGACACAATTTCACTTCCCAGCATCCACATGGCTTCTCACAACTGTCCATACACACCTCCACTTTCCAAGGGATCCTATGCCCTCTTCTGGCTGCTCCATGTACCAGAAATACACATGATACACATAAAATACAGGCAAGCAAACACTCATAACCATAAAACAAAAATAAATCAAATATTTTGTTTGGCTGGTTGGTTGGTTTTGGTTTTCAAGACAGGGTTTCTCTGTGTAACAGCCCTAACTGTCCTGGAACTTGCTCTGTAAAGCAGGCTGGCTTTGAACGTACAGAGATCCAACTGTCTCGGCCTCCCGAGTGCTGGGGCCACCACTACCAGGCGTTTTCTTTGATTTTTGAGACCAGGTTTCATTGATTTTGAGACTAGTGTAGCCCCGATCAGCCTGGAACACACTACATAAGACAGGCTGGGCTCCATCCAGTTCAGAGCCGCTCATGCCTCTAAGTCCTGTGTGCTACCCCAGCTAGTTGTATCTTAAAAAAAGTAACAAAGCAGAAGACATTCAACATTGGACTCTGGTCTCCACTTGAACACAAACAAGCATTAAAGAACCCTTAGAAACAGAACTTTATAAGGAGCCTGAGGTTTTTTATTTTTGGTTGGTTTGGCTTTACAGGGCTGAAGCCCAGAGCCTTGAACATGCTGGTCAGGTGCTCTATCAGTGAGCTGGAACCCAGCCTGCAAGGGCTGGTGCTTTTGCTTTGTTTGTTTTTGTTTTTCAAGACAGGGTTTCTCTGTGTAACAGCCTGGCTGTCCTGGAACTAGCTCTGTAGACCAGGCTGACCCTGAACTCACTAAGATCCACCTGCCTCTGCCTCACAAGTGCTGGGATTAAAGGTGTGTGCCACCACTATCTAGCAAAGGGCTCATTTTTAAAAACAGATTTTGCAACAAGATTCTTTTCCAAAGGGACTGTAACAATGTCTACTCCACTAAAAAGTAAGACCTCCTTCTGGACCACAACACAATTTTCTCTACACACAATAAAGTGTGGCACACGCGGGCAGAGGACAGGGCTAGCTCAGCCTTCATCCAATCATTCAACCTGCACAATTTAAGATGCTGGTGACCTCTTCTGTCTTCCTAGTGGAGTACAAAATAAAGCATCTCCCAGAAGATGAAGGATGCAAATGTGGCTGTAATTGAGACCCATTTCAAGTTTTCTATGATATAAAACCTGGGTTCTATATAGGACAGAAAATGTGGCATCTGGATTCTGAGTCTACCTTATTCCATTTAACATGGTGACTTCCAGTCCATTCATTTTTCTACAAATGACATAACTTATCCTTTTTTTATGGGTGAATAAAACTACATTGTGTATATATGCCACACTTTCTTTACCCACTCATTTGTTGGCGGGCATCAAGGTTGGTTCCATACTTGACTATGATGACTAGAGCCTTAGCCATGGAAGCACAAGCCCCTATGTGATGTGCTGGCTTAGATCCCTTCAGGTACAGAGTCAGCAGTGTGCAGCTGGACATTCTATCTTACAGGCTGAGGAACCTCCATCCTGATTTCCACAGAGGCCACAGAGTACCCCCAGCAGCACCCCTCCCCATTCTTCCCAGCACGTGCCCCTGTCTTCTTGAGGACAGACACTCTGCCTGTCAGCGGTCTGAATGCAGCTTTAACTGGCATTTCTCTGGTAATGCAGCATGTTCATGTTGAGCATCTCCTTCAGATATTTACTGGCCATCTGTAGTTCTGCTTTTGAGAATTGTCTGTTCGTTTTCCAGTTAGTTTACTGGATGACTGCTTGGGGTTCTTCATAAATTCTAGCACTTATCTTCGAGATGCTCAGTTGACAACACATTTTCTTCTCATCTTTCACTCAAGTTCCTGAACTTTTTGACATTTCTTTGCTGTCATTTCCTGTTCTTTCTTAGGGTTATTTTGGTTTGAATGTGTTTGTGTGACTGTATACCAGTGTGTGCAAGCGCTGGTGTATGGAGACCAGACCAGGTGTCCGTTCCCCTAGTGCTGGAGCTGCACTTGACTGAACCGCTGGGAACGGCACCTAGATCCTCTGGAAGTGCCCAGTCCACCTAGCCTCCGCCAGGGCCTTAAGTGTCTTTGAAAACTGGTCTTGCTGAACTTTATCCAATACCTCTCAAGGGACTAGCAGCTTGCCATATTTCTTGCTTCATTTGCTGATATAATCTATGATCAGATCTGGTAAGTTATGATCCTTATGTTGGGCAACACTCTCCACTGAGCCAAACAATGTGGCTAGCCTGTTCCTTCCTATTCACACCCAATTGGATAATACTACACTATCCATTATGTGTTTCGTGTGTGGGTAGCATTTTTCAGAGATAAAAGCATGTCAGACAGTATTCGTGGAGCAGCATCTCCAGCAGGAGACAGAGGGTTTTCCTCATGATGACGACGTCTTAAGTGAAAAACATCTGTTATTTTGTGCTTTCAAAGACAAATTCCTTTTGTCATTGAAGATTCTGTTTCGCTTTGGTTTTATTTTGGTTTCGGTTTTTCTGAAACAGGATCTTTCCATATAGCCTTGGCTGGTCTGGAACTCACTCTGTAGACAAGGCTGGCCTTGAACTCAGAGATCGATCAGCACCTTCCCACCAAGAGCTGAGGTTAAAGGCATGTACCACCATGCCCAGCCTTTTCAGTCCCTTCAAGATAACTTGTTAATTCACACTTTTAGCTCATGGGTCAGTTTTACTCATTTTGACACACACCTGTAGCAGCAACCACACAAGAGACCAAGGCAGAATGATTACTTGAGTCCAGACCTGAAAGACAACTTGGACAACAGGGTCACAACAAAAAATTAAAATCTGAGGCTAGAGAGATGGCATAGACATTAAGGTATTTATTGGTCTTGCAGAGGGCCTACATTCAGTTTCCAAAACCTACATGGTACCTGGTACCTCAAAACTATCTGTAACCCCTGATGCAGAGATCTGAACCCTCTTCTGGACTCCTCAAGCCCCAGGTACAAACATGGTACACATACTGTACTGCTGAGAGAGAGAGTCTTCCCCAGGGCAGAGCATGCCAGCTGGTCATCCACTACCAAGTGGTAGCCAGGAAAACGTACATACAAGTAACATGTCAACTCAGCAGATTATATTTAGGAATATACATGTATTCCTAAGTGTAAAAACAATGAATAAAAAACCCGGCCCTGGTTTAAAGGAGCTTGAGGTGGGAGTATACGGGATAGCTTGGCAGGAGGAAAGGGGAGGGGAAAAGGGCATAATTATATGATAATCTTAAAAATAAAAAGAAATAATAAAAAAAACCCTACCAATAAGTGATAAGACATGGTCAATTTTAGTTTATCTAGTTGAATTAGTTGTGACAGACATGGAAGAGAGGGGTTAACAAATTTGACAAAGGCCTAATAAAACCCTCAAGTAATCTGAGCCTTAAGTCTTAACTCAAAAAAAGACCAAGAACAGTCATTGGCATCACACAGTAGCCCCTGCCTGTAATTCCACCACTAGGGAGGCAGAGAATGCCCACAAGTTTGAGAATGGTCTGGTCTACGTAGTGAGTTCCAGGCCAGCCAGAGCCACACAATTCATCTGGAGAGTGCAGCTCGGCGGTCCTGTGTCTTTTCGGCAGACGTGAGATCCCAGGTTCCTTCCCCAGCACCACACAAACTTCTTACTCAGACAGGCAAACAAATGCAGCCAGCATAAAGAAAACGGTTGACCTGTTTGCTCTCACTGGATGATGAGTCAGTGAGCACAAAGGAATAAACCCTGACAGGAGTGTCAGCACACACTTTCATCCCTGCCCTGAACTGGAAAACGTTGTTAGTTCAAGGCCACTCTGGCCTACCCGGGCAACCTGATCTCAAAACAAAAGAGTAAAGAAAAATTCTAAGTCATCTGAGTAATGCTGCCACCAAACCGATAAAATTTCCCTCTTTGGGATTTCATAATCAGTTGAAAACTGTCAGCAAGAGTCTCGTTTATGTCGCATTCAGCTCCATATCTGCACCTCCTCACAGTAGGTCAGGTCAGGGTTGCTACAAGCCCTGGAAACAGACTAATAGTTAATGCAGGCCTGCAATGACGTCCGGTCAGACACCAGCACTCGGTGCGATTGGCAGCTCTCTGACTGACCATTCATCTTTATCAATCACTCCTGCCCCACCTGACATTCATTCCTTTATTCTTCTGAAAGAACTAATTTGAAGGCCCGTGCCAGTGGCTTTCCACCATCATTATTCTTAAATTCCCTCCTTGCTTTCTAGTGCCAAATTCTGGGGTTTTCCTTCTGTTTTGTTTTTGTTTTTTGGTTTTTTTTTTCCCCACCGCTTCTCAACTCAACTCAATTCCTTGTAAGTCACACCAGGACTGTCTTAGCAGGAACACACTGCCACAGTGCCCTTTGAACCTACCTCAGGCCTCACAGCAGCTGCACAGATGACTTCCGGGCACACTCCAGGGTCCCGCCCCAGCGCTCGGCTCTCTCCTAAGCTCCACTGTCACTCCAGCAGCCTGCCCGGCCCTAACAAGGGAACCTTCTGGAGCAGTCACAGTCATCAAGGACAGAGGTAATTAGGAAACCGCCACACTCCAGCTACACTGGGGACAATTCTCCAGAGTCTGCAGCAGTAAGCCCTTGGGGGCCGTCCTTAGAGGCTGTTCTACTCACATCTGACATCTTCTGAAGCAGCACTCACACCCATATTGTTACCAAAGTTCTGAGTTCAACAGACACTGTGAAAGCCTCCAAAACGATGCAGATCCCAGGATGCACACACTGAAATATCAGACGGAACCCCACCATGGTGTACAATCAATTCATCTTCATTTAAAGAAGCCAAGAAGCCCATGCTGTCAAGATGTAGTTTAACCTGAAGCTACCCAAGTTAATCTTTCAGTCTCTGTGACTGCCCTAAGAACTCACTCTGTACAGGGCTGGGGAGCAATATGGAATGTCTCCCTCGAGTAAACATCCAAGAGATCTTTCTTGTTATTTATGATGAAGCAAGGATGGAGAAAAGTTCAGTGCACTGTAAGTACACTCATTAAGATGGAAGGCAAGTGACTCAAGCCTTTAACTCGGGAGGCCGAGACAGGCAGATCTCTAAATTCGAGGTCAGCCTGGTCTACCCAGTAATTTTTGATTTTTTGCTTTTGTTTTGGTTTATTGAGACAGGATTTCTCTGTTACAGCCCTGACTGTCCTGCAACTCTATAGACCAGGATGCATTTGCCTCCCAAGTGCTAGGATTAAAAGCATGCACCCCAGCCCCTGGTTTACACAGTGAGTTCTAGGATAGCCAGGGCTAAATAGTCTTGGGGGGGGG